TGTTGCTGCTGCTGCTGCTGCTGCTGCTGCTGCTGCTGCTCAGGTGTCTGTCCAGCCGCAACCGCCTGCGGTACATGTACGCCGTGAGGGTTACAGACACCATAAGAGAGCACTCTGCTGTTGCAGTGCTGCGGAAGCCCAATGTACGTACACCCTAGCAGCAGCAGCAGCAGCAGCAGCAGTGGCAGCAGCAGCAGTAGCAGCAGCTGCTGCTGCTGCTGGTGTACGCGCAGCCGAGCAGCAGCGGGCGCTCTTGCTGCTGCTACTTCTGTGGCGTTTGCTCTGCAGCTGCTGCGTGCTGCTTGGCCCTCACCTAGCTGCTGCGGCCACTACTCCAACAGCAGCAGCAGCAGCAGCAGCAGCAGCAGCAGCAGCAGATGCGTGCGGTGTGCTGCTGCGCAGATTGGAGTCTTTCGGCTGATGGGCGACGGGTCCTTTCGCGCTTGCTTCTGCTTGCATGCGCAGCCCCAAGTTGCTGCGCTGCTGCTGCAGCGGGAGGTTGCTGTTGTGCTGCTGCGAGGGGGAGACGTGCTGCAGCTGCTGCAGCAAGACCTTGAGGCCTTCGCTGCTGCTGCTGCTGCTGGAGACGTAGCAGACTGGTGGGCGCCGCTGCTGCACAAGACCAACTGCAGCGGCAGCAGTAGCGCTGCAGCTGCTGCTGTCGTTCCTGCTGCAGCTGCTGCAGCAGCATCAGCAGCAGCGGCTAGCTGCAGCAGCAGCAGCCTTGCTGCTGTTGTAGCAGGCAAGTCTTCGACATGCTCCGCTGCTGCAGCAGCAGCAGCAGGAGCAGCCACAGCTTCTGATGCAGCAGCAGCAACTCAAGCAGTTCTTGTGGCGCTGCTGCATGCGCAGCTGCCAGCAGCAGCTCTGCTGCAGGTGTGGGCGGAGAGCCTGCGCTGCTACAGGCGCTGCAGCGAGCTGCACAGTGCAGCAGCAGCAGCAGCAGCAGTGGAGCAGCAGCAGCAGCTGCAGCATCTGCTGCAGGACACCGATACAAATGCGCTGCTGCAGCAGCAGCTGCTGCAGCAACCCTCCCCACAAGCCAAGAGAAGGCTGCTGCTGCAGCGGGAGCTGCTGCTGCTGCAGAGGAAGTCGCTCCTGCGGCGCCTCCCAGCGGAAGCAGTAGAGTGCCACGAGCACTGATTTGCTGCTGCAGCAGCAGCTGCAGGTCTGCTGCAGCAGCAGAGCTGCTGCTGCTGCAGCTAGCTTGCTGCTGCTGCAGCTAGCTTGCTGCTGCTGCAGCTAGCTTGCTGCTGCTGCAGCAGGTGTCTCCTTCTGCATTTGTGTTCCTCTCATTCGTAGCAGCTCCAGCAGCAGCAGCAATGCCTTCCTGCTGCAGTGAACTCTGCTTTTGCTGCTGCACATTTTTTGTCTGCGCTCTCAACCTGAGCAGCAGCAGCAGCAGCAGCTGCTGCTGCTGCTGCTGCTGCTGGGCTCGCCGGCCTCTCCAGCCGTTGTACTAAGACAGCATCAGCAGCAGCAGCAGCAACATCCGGTGGATTTTTTTAAAAAAGCAAAGCATGTGTTGAAGGGAGCTAGCTAGCTATCCACTGCAGTTGCTGCAGCAGCAGCAGCAGCAGCAGCTAAAGCTGCAGCAGCAACAGAAAAAACTACAGCCTGGGCCCCCTAAAGTTTAGTTTTAAATCCTTAGCAGCAATAAGTGCTGCTTCAAAGACTTGAGGCATCCAGCAGCAACGCACACACGCGCTGCAGCTGCTCTTCGTGAGCAGCAGCAGCAGCAGCTGCTGCTGCTACTGCTGCTGCTGCTGCTGCTGCTGCTGCTGCTGCCCATAATTAGGAGAAGAGGTATACTGCTTTGTCCAGCCCCACAGCAGCTAGCATGCGCAAGTTGCTGTGGCAGGCAAGGCCTTTGATTTGCTGCAGGGGCCCTCGCAGCACTGCAGCAGCAGCAGATGCAGTTATCACAGCAGGCTCTCTTGCTGCTGCTGCTGCTGCTTCTGCTGCTGCTGCTTCGGGCAGCGTATAAGCTATGATTTCAGCTCCGCCAACCTGAGCAGCAACAAAGAAACACCCCGCATATGTAACTTACTAGCTAGCTAGCTAGCTAGCTAGCTAGCTGGCTAGCTGGCTAGCTAGCTAGCTGGCTAGCTAGCTAGCTACATAGCTATCGAAAAAAGAACAAACATAAAAATGTATTTAATATAAGAGCATTAGAATTGATTCGGATGCATCTGAATGCACATGCATGCTCTATTTCCGAGTCCATACACCTCAGTGAGGTGTACGTACACCTCAAGCGCATGCATCTCTTCACCAGATATCCATTTACGAAACTTCACTGCAGCAAATGCCCTTTTTCAACATTAAACCGCAGCAAATATATATTTCCGACACAACTGCATGCTTTAAATGGATCAAAATACAGTATAACCCTCAAACGCATGCATGCATGCATGCATGCATGCATGCATGCGTGCATGCATGCATGCATGCAAAACCTTGCTTTTTTGCATGCAGAAGCCGCAGCAGTTCTCTCGCACTTGCACAGAACAAATATAAGAAGGCTTTGGACACATTTGCATTTAAAAAAGTATTTTTAATTGATTTAAATTTGCAAAAAGTATAAAAGAATTATTTTTCAAATAAAGTATTTTATTTATTTCTCAAATTGCATTTATTTTTCCCACCCGCTGAGTCGACACATAAAGGTAACGGCCTTCGGGGCTGAGGGCCATCGCAGGCGTTGAGTAGAAGTCCACGTCCGGCACATGCAGCCGCAGCACCTGCAGCAGCAGCAGCAGCAGCAGCAGCA